TCTCCCACTCTCGCTCTCATTCTCTCTTTGTGCCTCTCCTACTTTCTACTCCTACTACTACTTTTCTTCCATTCCGTACATCTCTTTACCTTTCGCTCCATCCTCCAACTCTTCCTCTTGTTTCACTCAATCGCTAGATTTTACAGTTTCTTAACATTGTGACATTACAGAAACCTGTTAAAGTTAATGCTCATGCTTAACATAACATTCTCGTATTAGTCGTAATAAATATAATCAATAGCGGCTCAACAACTTTCAAATCAACATCGCTCGCAACATTTTGAAGAAATGTTCAAGCGTTACCAACTTGTTATCAAAGTCAAATTACCCCGCAAAGCTCAGCCCAACACTTAACTGAAAAATGAAAAAAGAATTTTTTCAACAAGAGAGAGACGAAAATAAATAAAATGTCGTTGGAAGGAAATCCCATTAATGACAAAATCGATAAATTAATTTGTTTTCATCGACAAAATGCATAAATAAATGTAAATAAACAAATCACACACACATGCACAGACAACAGACGTACACATACACAAAGTGCCGTTAAGTAAAATATTATCTTGTAGTTTTTTGTTTCTTGTTGTTGTTTGTATCATTGTTGTTGCTGCTGCTGTTGTTGTTGCTGCTGTTGCTGCTGTTGGTGCTGCTGTCGGATTTAGAAATATGAAATTAATTAAGCTCCATTCCAATTCCCAGACAGAATCAATAACTTAATAAATTGCTTAATAAAATGCGCGCACAAACGCAGCGGGTGGTGTTCGATGATGCTCGCTGGTGCTTCATAATTTTTCATTGTAGCTTCGCTCACTTCGTCAATGAAGCTCTGTTGACACTTTGATAAAAAAATGTTAACTATTACAAATCAGTAGAGAAAAATGCCCTCAAGCCTTCTGAAGGCAACTATGTTCGTATGAATGCAAAATTAGTAGACTTTATGTTACTGAGTCTTGGATATCTAGACAATCCTAAGGAGAATCGTTATCTTGGGGCTGTGAATAATATAAATAATAGGTAATAAAAGATACATATATAAAATCCACATGAGGTATTGTAAGAATTTTAGCTCGTTTTGTGTATGTTTTACAAAAATATTTGTTATTTTTTGTAAAGCTATAGTTTCTAGTTTTTCCCTTTAAAAATATTTATTATATTTTTTATTCTCATAAAATACATTGTCTATGATCTTCGAAAACTTTTTCGATACCTTATTTATCTACTAAATCTTTGCTCAGCATCATCTGTGATCCACATCCTCTTCAGTTGCATAGGCAATAAGAAGTTTCGCAATACTTTTTGAACGCACCTCGCATAAGTAAGTTTTATATAGTAGCTCTTCACATATGCATGGCACAAAAGAGCAGAAAATTGAGCATTTGTGCTTCGCAAGTGCAGATTAAACGACTTTGCTTTGCAATTAAAACATTAGCTAGAGAACAGTCTTAGCGCAGCTCTAGAACATTCTTCAGTTTCCTCTTCCTGGCTTTACACAACTATATATAATTAACATAGTTGACATAGTTTCCATATAAACTCGCATGAAAAATTGCATTCCAATATTTCAGCTGGATTTTGATATACAATATTACTATCAACATCGTTAGATCAGATATTTAGCTAACATTTAATTTGAATTTAATTTCATAGATTTCTAATTACAATTCGTAACTCTTTGAAGGCCGACAAGTCGCTACCATTTCCAACACGTGCTCAGACATTTGTTTGCATTTCACATGGCACTAACTGCAGCATTTATCAAGTGCTTTGTTTTGACTCTCGCAGCTTGTTATCAACGGCGGCAACTGTAAATGGCATTAATGCAGCAGCAGCAGCAGCAATAGCAGCCCGCAATGTGACAAGCGGATTATGCAATCATATATTTAGATAGATGCTAGAGATAGAGCATCAATTGGATGCTGCTGATGCTGCTGCTGCTGCTGCTGCTGCTGCTTGCAGCCCGGAAAAGTCAATCTGAGAGAACTTCGGGGAGCAACAGCAGCTGAGCAAATGAAACCGGGGTCCAACAATTTGCCACATTGATATTTAAATATGCCGTTGCATTAATCATGAAATTACTCCAACAAAACAGTGCAGCTCGCAGTGCATTTAAATGCATATTAATGCAGCAAACGAGGTATCTGCCCATAGATTAGTCGCCGCGTCAATACCCTAGGTTTCATAAGAAAAGATTTCCAAACCAAATTTTCGATCAAGAATACAAACAAATTTGAGATGTATAATAGAAAAATATTTTTTTTTTTTTTTAAATATTTCGAATTTTTATAGGGCATAAGTAGGCAGGTATAAGTAGGCAGGCAAGCCTATAAAAATAAATTTTATAATAGTATAGATCAATTTAGATGTAGATAATCTCATTTATACAGACATCAAGCTAGTCCGCCTTTCAGCCTGAAGTCTCACAAGTTGACGAAGAAGCTCAATATACCCCTTTATGGGCAAAGGAACCACGGCTACTGCTGCTGGTGTTGTCTGTATGTATTCGCAATAGCTGACCATGTCGTGTCATGTCATGTCGTGTCCGCTCTTGACACTCATTAGCCGGACTCACAGCAGTGGCCGATTCGTATGCAGAGACAACATCTCAATGGTGCATTGGACTACATTCAATCAGAATGAGTCGTATTCCAGCTGTTGACTGCCGATCAGTCGAACAGCACGCCTCGGCCCGCCCCTCGCCATGAGACCACCCTCTATTGCAGCAGCAGCAGCAGCAGCTCCAGCTAGATCGTTTAATTGAAATAATTTTCTATAATTAAACAATTAAATCAACAAATCAGCAAAATCAACGCCTGAGCTCTGTGAGTAATGGCATTTTGGCATCTCGCACACAGTTGAATCAACATTCGACCAAGTCACGAACCAATGACTCAAATATCACACATTGCACGAAATACATACATCTGATTTGCAATTTAGACTACGATGCGTACTCGTTCTTCAAATAGGAATTACCTATCCTCTGAAATAATTGGCTAAAATTGTAAATTTACCCAGTTCGCATTGTGTGCAATGAAAGCAAATGCTTTTATTAGTTAGGCAGCTTTGGAACTACTGTATTCCGGAAACGTAAAGTGTCGAAATTGATACGAGTTTCCAAATTTTCTTTGAATGGAAAAACTTGTCACATTTTTGTAAACAAGCAAACCTATAATTGTGCTTTATAGAACTCGAACTGTTTTACACTGGGATGTGATTGAGCTAGAGGTATGTTATATCTATATTATATAATTATACTGTTATACAGTTATTATACTGTAAAACTGTTATATTGCTCTACCTATTATGCTGTAAAACTGTTATACTGTTTGGCTTTTACGGCGTAAAACTGTTATACTGCAAATTTCTGTACTACAAAACTGGTATACTTTACTATAAATTTGTTATACTGCAAATACTGTTATACAATAAAACTGTTATACTGCTATACTACAGCTGTCATACTGCAAGATGGTTACACAAAAGTCTTTTGTTGAGCTTTTAAAGCTACCAACTTGATTAGTTTGTTGTCAAAATCATGGAGAATTTCAGATTTATTTATCATCAAGCTGACATTTTACATAGCATCTAGTTTCATTTCAAAATTTTTGTGTAGTTATATACGTTAATGAAAATAAAAAAAAAAAAAAAAAAAAAGGAAACCAATATTTGTTCATCGTTCATCAACGTATATAGTTCAGAAATATATATAGTAGTTTATATACATAGATATATAGTTATATATCTGTATGTGTATTTATGTTCATATATATGCATTATTTTGGTCAAAATTCATTGTTTGTAACATGTTGGGATTGCGGCTGAAGCTGCATATGTTATTACTACTGCAGTTGAATTTGCGCAGCGTTGGCTCCATATCAACGGATACACCCTCTGAGCCGGAAATGCCAGAGCGTTGTAAATATCTGCAGAGTTCCAATGAGGTAATGTTTCAGAAGTGCAAAGGAAAATTCCCGCTGGTGGCTTACACGAAATTCCGTGATACATTCATGAAGCAAACGGATCGCATGGCACTCTTTATGCCGGAATCATTGGATCATATTCTGGTGTCCTTGAAGGACTCCCAGTTGCATTACTGCTACAGCATCCAAGTGCTCGAGGTTAATGAGTACTTATGCTTCGACGAGTTCGGCGGCAAGCGCACTATCAAGCTACGATCGGCCCGAATGTATTGCTTTCCATTTCACATCCAGCTCACAGATGACCTGATGCATGAGTGTATACTGGAGCGTGATGGTGTCACCGAATCAGTGCTGGAGGCAAATACATTGCGAACGAAGCGCGGCATCATTCACTATACATTCGATAATGATTCAGCCGTTCGCTATTTAATGTCAAAGCGAAATGTCATGATCCAAATGTTAGTCGTGTTGGCAATGTTGTCCTATTTTTAAATATAGCGTAAGCCGGAGAGGTCGAAGAAGACAAGATGGTTGAGCAATAATAATTGGGCATCAGAATCAGGCACAAGTAAATGAGTAGCCGAGCTTTCCACAAAGAAATGTCAAATATAAGATACTACGAGCTACACAGCGAGGACAACATCGAATTTTAAAACACTGATTAACATTATTGTAAATAACGAAAAATAGGCCAAGCAATCGGTAACTGGTGAATAAAATTGAACGAGCTGTTAACAGCTAGTGTTAAAAATTTTTTAGTTTTTGTCTATGTCGAGAAATCTGTAAACGAAAACTTTGGGCAGCGGGTAACTAGTGAAAAGCTAAAGAGTGACAACCGGCCGAAAGTAACGAGTGTTAAAAAAATGTAACGAATAAATTTCAGCGAGTAGATAGGGCATAGAACAGTAACATTTCGCATGCAGCATTAATAATGAGAAAATGTAACGAGTAAATTTTAGCTCTCGCTCTAGTTCTAGGAACGAGTGAATCGCAAAGAGAAGCGTGACAAATAGTAGCTAGAAAAAAAAAGTAGCGAATAAGAAAATAGTTACAATTGCAACGAGTTACAAAAAGACAAACCTGCTGCCAGCTGCCACATGCCACTTGCCATTTGCCATTTGCCATTTGCAAAATTTCCAACGATGCACTCAGCTGGTATCTAAAATCTCGCTCTCTGTTGCCCCAAACGTCGAAGCCTTTACCAATTAAGGGTCGTAAATATTTATACGCATCTACCCATATTCCGGGCCATTGTGTGAGGCCAGGCCATTAAGATTGATCGGGCTCAACCGCAGAGTTGAAACAAAGCGTAAAGGGAGCTAAGCGGAAGCCGCAACGAGTTCGTTCGAGTCGGAACAACTTACATGGAATCCAAGCGAATATCTTTCGGTTCTGTGCAATTTTCTTCCGTTGTCGCTTAATATTAATATCAATATTATCCATGCATGCCAAGTATTTATTTAGTGAGCATTAAGAGCCATTTCATGGCATCCATTTTTGGGCTACGTGCTCAATATCAACGGCTTCACATCGGGCACGCCTCCACCCTCAGTGAAGACAATGCACAGAAATCGCCTTTAGTGGAGCTCACTCACATCACGTTGCATTTGGGAAGTCGGTCACCTGCGTCTGGCGTGCGTATCATTTCCATCTATTCACACACAGATGCACATATAGCATAGTCTACATACATATACATACTGTAGCTCCAATTTCCAATTTCAATTTCCATGCCCCATTCAGGCGATTAGCGGTTCGATGCAAGGAAAAGCCTTGGCGCGTGCATTGCCCTGGGGTGAACAGCGGTACGGGGGCAGGGTTAGCAGGATTCGACGGAACACCAAATTTGAATGCGATCGCCGAGAGTTGTTGACACATCGCGCTTGGCCACAATTTGCATGTAGCAAGTCCGCAAATGCCGTTGCGTGGCCTCCTCGCACAGTGCTCCACATGGCAGCGTGTCGCGATTTAAGTATTTAGTAATCTCTTTTTAACTGCTAGTTAAATTTGACAGCGGAAGATATCAGTGTGGCACTCTGTGAAATGCCGGCTGCATTGCTTTTATTACCATCGAGGCGTTGTCAGCGGCTTGTTAACTTTGACACGAGCACAACTGGTTATCCACTTGGAATGCCGATAAGACAACCATACTTAACTGATAGTGACATCAAGCCGTTGACAAGTAGTTTAATATAAATTCTGTGTCGCAATCGATTACCATTAAAAGAAGCAATTCAAGACTTGAATGCAAAAGTAAAAACTTTTCAATTTTAAATAAAATTTGGGAGAGATATTGTTTGATGTGTGCACATTTTGAATTTCTGAAAGTTAATGTGAAGTGTTTGTTGAATCACAGCAAGAGTAGATATACTATTGAATTTACTTTCTAAATGAACTGTGTGTTTTGAGTGCAACAGAGTTTATTCTGGCATAAAACTCTTGACAAGCAGTCATATATATTTTTTTTCGTAACACTAAATTATCGCTTAGAGATATCGAAGTCTGTGGGTTAATTTTGACAGAATGGGTAGAAGATATCTATGGGAATCTTTGATTGAAATCTAGCTAGTCAACATTAAGGAGCATCGACAAGGCACAACTTTAACTGCTGTATGGGAATACTCTTGTATGGGAATTTAGTGGAGTTAGTTTCTCTGTAATAATTTGGTATTGCTGAAATGGACAACTTTACAAGAAAACTTTACCAGATTTTTAGCAAAAGCTAAAGCGCAACCACATTTAACTAGCAGATGCATCTGATGATTTGACATCAACTGGTTGACAAGCACTTGCCATGCAAATGGACATTGAGCCACTGTGCCTATTGTCAAAGACAATGCAAACAGCATCCACAATTGAGCAAGCCACGACGAAATGTTTTCTTCAGTTGCGTTTTTTTTTTCGTCTAGATCTGCTTATTTGCATGTCCAGTGCTCAGTTGTTGTTGTTGTTGTTGCAGATGCTGGTGTTGTTGTTGGTGGGTTCGGTGGTGTTGTAGCTGTGGGCGCATTTCAATTTCGAACGCTTTTCAATTTCAATTTTTGCCGCCCGCTGTCAATTGTTTGTCACGTGTACGCCGCAATCGTTCGCTATCCGGCGTAACTGGCACACTCGAGTTCAATCGAATGCCACACACAGCAGGTGATGCTGCCTCTGCCGCTGCCTCTGCCGCCGTATCATTTGGCCAGTTGGTCAGGTAATTGCGCAAATGCGCAATGCAAACGAATTGCCAAAGCCATTTGCATAAATTTCACTTGCATGGAGAAGGCCGCACAGGGAACACTCCACACTTAACACTCCAGAGTCGGTCACTCGATTGTGATTGCGTAATGCCTGCCGCCACTTGCCACTTGCTACTCGCTACTTGCCACTTGCTACCTGCCATTTGCCACTTGCAGCATCAACTGCTGGCTTGGCTTAGCCGTCATAAACATAAACAATGATTAGGCGGCAGATGATGCTCCTCCTGCTGCTGCTGCTGCTGCTGCTGCTGTTTGATGGCCCATTAAAACGGTTTCCAGGCTCCCAAGCTGCCCAAAGTCCAAAAAACCCATTTCGATTCTCATTCCCAGTCGCAGTGGCACTGCCAGTCGCAGTTCAGCCAACTCTATTATCAATTAATTAGTCAAATTCAAACACAACTTTACCACTCAAGCAGAACGACTCATTAAAGTCAGCTTAAGTTTTTTGTTGCTCTATAAAAATCATTCATAAAAAAAATCAATTTACTTATTAATTATTGCATTTAATTCTCAAATATTGATAATCTATCCATTTCGAATAGAACTCGACCATATGCCACATGTGAGAAGTCTGCGTGTGGGTCTTAACTTAAATTTGTATACCCTGAACCCATTAAAAATGGGAAATCAGGGTATAATGGTTTTGTGAAAAAGTATGTAACGGGCAGAAGAAATCATCACAGACCCCATAAAGTATATATATTGTTGATCAGCGTGACGAGCTGAGTCGATATAGCCCTGTCCGTCTGTCCGTCCGTCCGTCCGTATGAGTGCGTCGATCTCAGAAGATAAAAGAGCTAGTGTGTACCATACGCAGTACAAGTTTATCATATTTTTTCGATAACTCATCCGATAACTTTTTTATCGAGAATAATCAAAAATTGAGTATAAATAATTTTGTTTCAAAAAAAGTCGATCTACTGCTAGAAGAAGCTTCCGATCTTTCTTCGTCTTACTCAAAGAAGTTTCGAGAGTAATGAGTTAGTTTAACACACTCTTTTTACATTATATTATTTTTTATAATTTTTTTTTTTTTTTTTTTAAATATGCTTTACTATCATGTATTCCATAATATTTTACTTTTTCATATGTTTTCTACAATTTTTCACTCGGCTAACACCAAGATATTAGTCACACAAAAATAGCTTATGATGGATGACACTCACTATATTATACTACGTTTGACAACTTTAACATCTAAAGATCTCGAGATTCATAAGAGTTCAGACATCTAAATACCTAAAAGCTTCAGAAATGAAAACAAATGAGGCGCATTATGAGTATCTAAATTTAGGAGATTGAATTTGCGTTACTTGCAAGACGAAAGGAAAACAAAGAAAATATGGAAATTAAATCATACGAAAAAAAAAAAAAAACAGTAGAAAATGTTCAAGTTATAGGTATATTCACATACATATATCAAGTTGTCAGGCAAATCGAATGCGGCGACAGAGCTGCAAAGTTGTCTATAATTAAAACATTTCTTAAGGGGCCCAGAGGTCGCGGCAGAAAAACAAATCATGTCAGATATCAACTAAAACAATAAGCGCCAATAAGCAGACAAAGCGAATGTGCAGTTAGCTTAACGGTGAAGCGTAAAGAAAAACATAAATAAAATACCTTCAACTAAGAGGGACAAAAATGCCGACAAAAAAAAAAAAAAAAAAAAAAAAAAAAACTAGCCAGTTCTCGACAAATCGATTTGTTGCTGTTGTTGTTGACATCTGAACTCTGGACCAGAAAAAATCTTCTTTTTGGGCTTTATAAGTTGTTTTTTTTTTTTTTTTTTTTTTTTTTTTTTTTTTTTTTGGGAACTTAAAGTACCGTAAGACTTTGATAAAGACGCAGACGACAGGTGTAGTCTCTAACTAGTCAGCCAGCTCCTCTCTCTCTGTCTCTCCCTTTGTCTCTTTCTAGCTCGATCTCTCTTTCTCTCTCGCTCTCTCTGTCTCTCTCTCTCTCTTGGTCTATTGTCAAACAAAATATTTGTAACAATACAATTTCGAATGTCTGGCGGCTTTTGTTTGGCTTGTTGTTTTGGGGCGGCAATCTGTTCGTTGACATTTATCAAGCCGAAGCTAAAGGAAAACAATAAGAAATACACACAGATATATATCGCTATAACTATATATCTACATGCGACAGATTTCAATCGTCGTAAAGCATAAAGCGTAAGGTGTAAAGCCCATCCCCCATTTCCAATCGATTCGCTTGGGTATTACATTTGAAAGCTATTTAAAGCGTCTTTTTGGCAATATATTTAGAAACATCTTAAGCATGATGAAGCTCCACGATCATCACCATCATTATTATCAACATTGGTTAGTATTGGTATTGTCATTATGTAGCTGCTTAGTTATTGTTCGTTTTGTGAATTATATCATCGATATAAAAGAAAAAACCGACTGTAAATAATAAACAAACAACAAATATGAAGGGCAAAGCAGTTTACATTTTGAAATTGATTTCATTTTGCTCTTTATCTTTTCTTTTTTTCTCTTATTTTATTTTATTTTATTTTATTTTTTTTTTTGCTGGTATTTTGCAAATAACAAAATACCAAAGAAAACTTTTAATAAAATCTGCTTTTGATAGCTATTTTTGGATCCTATGTCTTAGCCTGCAGACATCTTTAACGTATGCAAATCTGAGCGATTGAAACAGATATCTCCGCCTCATATTCATCTGCTTCTTCTCCGACGATTGTGTGCAACAAGTGAATACAAGTGAGTTCACAGTGAAAGAAGCTCGATAGAACAGAAATAGATCTAAGCTGAACAGCATTTAGTATATGCTTTGCTTTCTTTGATAGATGAATAGGCTTAGGTTCAACATTAAGCTGCTTAAATTGGCTGAATACATGCATATGTAGATATGTATATAAATATATATATATATATATATATATATATATATATATATATATATATATATATATATATAAATACATACACAAATGTATATTCCTTAAGTGATTGTGCTGTCGATAGATTCTCAAAACCTTGATTCATATAATTTAGTAGATATCGGCTTTTCGTATCAGAATGAATAGATTTTAGCTGCTTTGATTTGTAAGATACTAAATATGCCTATTCCATGATGTAATATATGCTTACATATTGTAATGCATTCCATCGTGTCTTTGTTTACTTTGTTTTATACTGCTGGAATTTTATTTCTGAATTGTTGAAGATTCGAAAGATTTCATTGAATACACATATTTACAGGGTAATTCACACTCTGTCAAAATGTGTAAAAAAAAATGAAAATTATGTCATTTATGTTCAAATGAATTGAAATACTTTAAAAGATTATTTATATATTATTTACACATAACAATTTACAATTTACTTTGTAGAATTTACCTCACTTTACATTATTTATTTATTATTTATTATTTATTATTTATTATTTATTATTTATTATTTATTATTTATTATTTTATATATTTTTTATTTTTTGTTTTTTTTTTTTTTTTTTTTTTTTTTTTTTTTTTTTTTTTTAATTTATTATTTATTGTTAATTATTTATATTTTATTATCGATCATCATCAATTTTTGTTCTACAAAAACACCCTCCCCTTTTCCCTTCTCTTTTACCCCTCCCCTCTCTTAACTCTGACGTCTCTCTGCTTGATTATAGATTTGATATTCGTATTTATTTTACTTTTTTACCCATTTTAATTTTTAATTATTTGATTTGTTACATATATCTTATATATGTATGTATATGTCTATTGTACTGATGAGCGATTGATTAGCTGATTGGCTTTCGGTGTCCACTTGGTCTGGCTGGCGAGCATTGTGAGCGTGTGTAATGGCATGCGGCAATCGGCTTGCAGCATGCAGCATGCAACATGGCCTAACAGCCGTCTGTCAATATGTGGCGCGTGGCAGCCGTTGGCTACTCGTCGTCGATGCTGTTGCTGCCTTTAGCCGGTTGGACTTGACTCAATTCGTCATTTAAATGATGCCACTGCCATTGGCAGCACTTAGCGCAACATCAACTCAAATTGCAATAGCAACAGCTTGCAGCAGCATCTGTTGCAGCACCAGCAGCAGCAGCAGCAGTCGAGCAAGGAACGTGCCGTGCCAAATTAATTGCTTCGTTAGATGGTCAGTGGCAATATGTGGCAGTTGGGGCAGT